TGAGTCTATAAACTGTCACCCCCCACCCCCCAAAAGAAAAACCATGTATCTAGAATGGCATACCTGTGAAAGACAGGGGAGCTACAGGGTATTCCTGCACTACCTTGTCTTCTGCCACTCTGGTTACCCATCTGCTTAGTCTTTACCTGCAGTGTGACCACCTTGCTGAAGGTGCAGTCCACATTAATCTCTGTCACAGATGTCCCATTCAGTGAGGCTGCCTGCTGCTCCAGCTCTGAAATGTATTTCGCCTGTTGGTGCAACTGGACACACCTGCACATGGGACTCCTAGGCAAATGTCCTTGACTTCACACATGGGACAGGAGGAGCAAATCACCATGAACTTTGCTGCTCCATGACTTCCTTTTTTAGATTTAAGCTTATTTGTTACTCCTTTTGAAGAATACTAATTATGCTAGAGACCTTATTTCATTCCAAACCTTCCTATGGAAAACCTTGTGTTAAGTCATAACTTTACTTCACTTGTGTTACTTTCATTACCTTTATATTGAATCTCAAGAATTTTTACAGTGTAGAAGGAGATCATTTGGTCTGTTGTTCCTGCACACGCTGTTTAAATGAGAGACTATCTTGTGCTAATCTCCTTTTTCCCCATATCCTTGCACATTGATTATTTGGATGGAAATAAATATCCAATGCCTTCTTGAACACCTCAATTGAATATACCTCCCCAACATTTCCAGACCGTGCAGTCCATACCCTAACTACTTGCTGGTGAAACATTTTTTTCCACCCGTCAACTTTGCTGCTTTTGCACATCATTTCTAAATCTATGCACTCTATTCAGCTCGTGATTTTGAAACCTCCTCTTCGCCTTTTTCTTCCCAAGGAGAACAATCCCAATTTCTTCAATGTATCTTCAAAACTGAAGTGGCCTTAACTTTGTCAGTTGAATCAAACTACAGCAGCTAATTTTTAAAAAAGAAAAATGCAATATGCGATTTTTTTTTTTTTTTTTTTTTTTTTTTTTTAAAACCCCTGTGGTTTCACGCTGATTGTTTCACTCTGTGTTGAACTCAGCACTAGCTGCTCCTTTACTGGTCCTGCTGACTTGTGCCCTAATTTATATCCTTCCTCACATGCTGCTTGTTGCAAACTGACTGTAGGACACACTTCCCAGACTGCTTTACTGTGATGTTGACTGAAGAACTCTCGTTCCTGCTTTATTGTATCCTGAGATCCGTGCTCAGTGACATGCCCTGTCCACATGCACACAACCTCTTTGTCCATCAGCACTGATTCATCCTATCTGTCCCAGACCCTAGTTCCATATAATTCTTGCCTGACACATTAGCAAGAAGCGTTCTTCTGTCTTCAGGTATGGTTATTAATCATTTGTGGTGATTGTCTGTTACTGGCCATGCCAGCTTTTATTGCCGTCTGATTTTGGCAGTCAGTCTCATTGCTGCAGAACTGGAGGCACGTAAAGGCCACAGGTGAGGGTGGCAGATTTCCTTCCCTAAAGGACATTTGTGAAGCCTGTTTTACCCCATAATTAACGACGGTTACATGGTTGCCTTTAAGCTAGTGTTTTTTTTTGATTGAATTTTGATTCAAATTTCACCAGCTGCCGTGGTGGGTTCCAAACCCTTATTCCCAGAACATTATCATGGGGTTCCGTAATATCACTACGTTACTGCTATGCTGCCACTTCCCCTTAGTTAAGGAACAGTAGCTTCAACAACTTAGGGACAGATGGCTCTCCTGAACCTTTCTCCCATTCTGTTCCCTCTGAACCCATCTCCCCTCCTAATCCCACCTCTTGTCATCTATTCACTATACTCTCCAACCTTCTGCTAAACTGAGCTCAGGTTATTCAGCATCCCAGACCGTGCCCCAATGAAGTTTGGGTGCAGCATGACATTGAATTCTTCTGTTGTCTTTCTGCTAGGTACTTTGGTAAGGAGTTCTTTTCCCTGCTCCATGAATCCTTTCAGCTGTTTCTATACTGTCCCTCCATCGAGATCCCTCCCTCTCTCCTCTTACCTGCACTTAATCTATGTGGTAACAGTTCAATCAAAACAACCTCCCTATCCCTGTTTTGCAACACTGTGAAATGAAAATACTCAATGGCACTCAAATGGTTCCTAACCAGACTTTCTGAATAACCAGTGCAGACTTTGTGAATCATTGATTACCAGATACCAAGTTTATAACTTAAAAGAATTAACAGTTCATGAATAATACATTAGCAGAGCAAAGTTGAACCAAAAGGTAATCTCATTAATGTCAATGATGTAAGCCCAGTTACTTTTTGGTTCTTGCACCCACTCTCTCAAAGGCAGACCAACAAATGGACACAGTTAAGGGATCTATCAAAAGAAAAAAATAAATTAATTGTGACTGGCCAGTTCACGTTAGCGAACTCCATGATCCATAACATCACAGACACATGGGATTGTTTTAGTTTCTGAAGACACAGTGCATGCAATTAGTTTCCAGTAAGAAGGAATAAAAAAAAAACTGCGAATGCAGGAAATCTGGCACAAATACATAAATTGGTAGAGAAACTTGGCAGGTTGGGCGCTATCCGTTCTCAAGGAGGACACTGGACTGAACATTAACTCTGCTTGTTCTCCGCAGATGCTGTTAGTTTCTCCAGCGGTTTCTGTTTTGTTTCAGGCTCTGAGGAATATTCACTTAATACTTATAAATTCTGTTCTCTCTGAACTTTTGATAATGGGAGGACAACGAGGGAGCAATTAAAACTCCATTCTGTAGCTTTCACAGGTACAATCATTATGCCATAAATCCATTCAAACATTGATTACTCTTTATTGTGAGGCCTCGGTTAATATTCAACATCTGTCATCTGTTTGAGCATAATACATCTCATGAACCGAGAAGTCTCGAGGGTTCCTTGGACAAAAATTGGCCTGACATCATTAGCAAATACTGGTTTGTTTGTACTTTTTTTTTTGAAAAAATAAGCTGTTGCTTACAGTGTAATGGTCACCTTCAGCTCTTAGATTTCAGTTCACGTCTCAAAACCAAAAATGATAATGTTGAAGGATCAGCCAGGATTCTAACAAATGTCAGCATGACATTGCCTCAGTTTCTCCCCTAACCCTCTCTTGCATGTCTTCCTTTGAATTTGCTACAGTTTGTTCTCTAAGATTTAACTCTTTCTGCTGAGAGTGTGGTGCTGTTGTCATTGTGCATACTGATCTCTACCTTGGAAACCAACTTTCAACTCTTAGAAACTTCCTCCTCTCTCTCCCTCAATCATGACCCCACTACTGAACATCAAGCCAGGACTGTCACTGACCTCAATCTCCACTGGAGGTCTTTAATACTGTATTGTTCCTGAATCCCATACAGGCTATTCCTGCTTTATTTCGAAAACCCACAAAGGATTTCCCTGACAGACCTATTTGGGCATGTTACTGCCCCACTGAGCACACTGTTACAGACTTGGTTTTGATGATGATGAAATGAAAATGAAGGTTTATCATGTAAACGAAAGCAAACTAAAATAGAATAAACCAAATAAGCTACATGCTTAAAGATGTCTAAACATAGAATAAAAATTTCATCTTATTAATCATTAAAAGCACCCTTTTATTCTCACCACAGAGAATTCCTTTCTCTGTTACCCTTTAAAGGACTTACTTTAATTGTGGCTCTGACTCCCAGTCTTGAGAATTTGATATCCTCTTCTTGGGACCTTAAATTTTCTCAGCTTCAAATAACCCTACCAGTGGTTTAGTTAAACAATTCTGATTTGGAACTTTTTAATAAAACTGTTCAACAAAGGTAATGTACTTGTTAACAATTCTAAAATATTTCTTCCTTTCTCGAGCGGATGTTTTCACATTCAGGTGTAGCCAAGAATTCAGCAGAGCTATCACACTATGCACTGTAGAACATTTGAATGAACCTGTGATATTTACTTTTATTTATAAGACAATGTATAATGAATTTCTGATGATCCTCATCTTAATAGTTAGGTGATGAAAGTCTCTGAAGGGTGTGGGCTGTTACCTACTTTTTTTATAAAAAATTCTGAGGTGCTTTATCAGTGAAACTGATCTGTAACAACAGAGCAGGACAATCCCAGGGAGTGACTCCATTAATATTATTTGAGCTGGGCAGTTGTATGCAGTGTGGCTGAAGAGATAATCAACCAAGGTTTCTGGCCCTGAAAAGTTATTCCACTTTTTGAAATTTCTTACCTGCTTATGTCTCAAAAACTTCCCATATTTCTTTTACACTGTATTCAATTTGGAACTCCACTACATTTCCTGTTAGAAGAAAGCATTCTCATGATTTTTTGTGACCTGAATATTTGATGGCTATCACTGCATATGATGGGCACCTCCTTGTATGTTGTATGCTGTGGATTAATCCACCAGAGCACGGAGTATCATTCACAAAGGTTGGAATGTGTTGGGAGTATGAATTTATGTTTGAGGATGAGGAACTGAAATATGAAATTATTTGGATATTCTGGATTAAAAAAGCTTTACCCCAAGGCTTTGAATGGGTGTGATTTCTTGGATTGAGCTGTTAATTACTGATTAAATCAAGTAACTTCAAATAGAGATAAGGGTTTAGATTTATAGCTTTAATTGCTGGACACACTTGGTTTTGAGCGTACGGGGGTTTATGTGCAAAGGGTGTCAAGCAACACTTCTGATTTTTCTGATATTTGGGTTTGTCAATTATATAAGGGGAAATAAAGACCTCCATTGTGTGCAATGACAAATCTCCCCACCCTCTGTTCTCCCACCCCTGCTTTTTTTTCCCCCTCACCCTTTCTTTCTCTCGCTCTCATTCTATCTATCTCTATCAACAGAAAAATAAAAGCCACCATTTAAGGGGTCCTCACAATTGTCAGTTGAAGCTTCAAGGCCACTACTACTACAGAGCTTACTGCCCCACTAAGTGTTACAAAACACACTTTGGGAGCCCTTCTTTTATTTTGTTTAATGTATGAATCCATGTTTAGTTTACATTTTCACTTTCATATATTACAGGCTTTGTGTTCCTTGTTGTAGGTGAAACACTTGCATCTCGTGTTGCTGCTTCACAGCTGATGTGTTTGGGATGTCCAGAACTGATTGCAAAGACCAGACAAGAGTATGAGGATATTGCTGTTCTGTTGGGAACAGATATGGAATAGTACGTTCTAAAATTCTACTTTTACTGTTTATTTTACTGATTAACTTAAGTTGTCAGTCTGCATAGCATTAACTTGTACCTAGCTCATACATGAGTGCACCAATTTGATATTGACTTTTTTTGTTCAAATTTCTTTGATATTGATTAGGTATACAAAATCTGAGTTCAACAACAAAAACTATAGAAACTGGTTGGAACAGGGAAACGGAAATTGGTTATTTGAATGTGGACACCATTATTAAAATGCCAAATGAGTGAAACACTTGGGCTTGGTATTGTGCTGTAGACTTTTATGTGCTGTATGGAAGATGTACAGTACAAGAATATGATGTAGCCTGCACTGAAGGTGATGTAATTAAGGACTGATGTTGCAAGTACTTTTTTTGTTGTACTTGGATGATCACACTACCATTTCTCAAGGGAAGCAGGACTTCTGTTGAAGCATCATAGGAGTCTACATACCTTAGTTTATCAGAAACTTTAATATGCTTCTGTTTGTGCTCCCGTTTTTACTAGAAGAAGCTTAGTATTATTGCTTGGATCAGTTTTTTTTAAATTAACCTATTATTCCAAATTCATCTGTTCAGAGATGTTATTACACACTTGTGGAGCAAGTTGGGCTTACCTGGGTCTCCTGATCCAGAGGTAGGGATACTACCACTGCCACAAGAAGACCCCCTTGGATCAGTATTGACTTGATTGGTTAATTGAGGGCAGGGTCAGTTGTTTTGAAATGCAGTGGTGCATACAGATACTTGGCATCAATGTATAGCTAATTGGGATAAAATGGAGATTAATCATTGCTCCTACATTAATTTTCAAAAAATTTTTTTCAGTTATGTGTTTAAGATTTTAAGTTGAAAGTTAAAGCTTTCTGGGCACTTTTTTTTTCTTCTCCCCTGTTTGTTGACCATACATATCTAAACATAGAGAGCTGAAGAACATCTGATACATTTTAAGAAAATATTGAAGGGGTACAATTCGTATGTTTCAGCTCAGTTAGAATTGTGTACAAGAGAAGGAAATATTAAGATATTGCATATGTCAGTACTCTGCAACGGTTGGCAAATATTCTTTGTTTTATATTCAAATGAACAAAAGTGTATTCTCAACTTTAATCTAGTAACTAACAGCCTGTTTTTAAACTGTGAAAAAGACATGACATGGACATTTACTAGGCCTGCTATTTCTTCCTTTCAAATGACATGAGCCACATTTTATTCTTATTAATTTTTTAATTGCAAGTACTGTTGGGAAGCAAGCATTCAATGTCCTAACACGGAGCCTTAGCACCAGAATGGCAGGTCAATGAATTTTTTGAATATTTAGTTACCAAGTGCATGGTACGTTTTTAAAAATAGTGTGCTTAGATATTGCTTGTGTAGAGAGCTCTTCCTGCATATTTGAATTTGATAGTATTTTAACAATGTGGTTATTGTTCTCTTATACAGTCTGAAGAAAATCAGAGGAAAGGTGTGGAAACAGAGAGTAAGCAGCCCCCTGTTCAACACCAAACAGTATACTATGGATCTGGAGCGCCTCTACACACAGATGTGGGAGCATTATGCTGCAGGCAACAAACCAGACCATTTGATTAAGCCACTTAAAGCCATGGAGACAAATGAAACTGCTTAAATCTACTTGATTGCTAGATCATTGTGACTTTGACATGAGTATACTGAACTGCACCCTTGGCTCCATGACCCATCACGCACTGTTTTTTTTTTTTTTTGTTTGGAATTTTTTGAGACCAGCTAAGTGCTGGCAATAATGCATTTTCATACTAGCCCAGAGAGACTGTTCAAAAATTGAAATCTCTTTACTGAAAGATTGTTGATACTGGAGTTAAACCAAGCTAAAATGGGTTGTATTAAGTACACCATGTGCAGTAACCCAATCTCTAATCTACATTGAGTACCTTTATTCATTTTAAGAGGGTGGATCTGAAAATATTGTAATGCCATTTAGTTAGAACTTCACACTCATAATTAGAAGATAAAAATCTGATATTACCATCTGTTCACTACTCATGGCATTGGCTTCCTTTTGAATGTTTGATGGCCAGATTGCTGGATGGGTTCACTTCAGGCCTTTGATAACTCTTTAAAGAGTTGTCTTTCAGTTTTAATGTGTCCCTGTCAAATTATTTCTGTAAACCGTAAGAGGCTCACTTTCTTGTCAGTCTTCATGCTCTCTGCCTTGTCAGGCTTTTTAGTTACAAAGTTATTATACTTTTGTTGAAAACTGCTTCCTACATTGAAAAGGACATGTGCCAAATGGCCAGTGTATGCCTGTACTCTTTATTTGCTCCAGTTCTTCAAGTGATGCAGCAGAATGCACATACCAGTTGTCCTCCGTTGGCTCGAGAGTGTGTTTCACATGCATCAGATATGAGCTCAAGTAGTGCAATGGAATGTATTTCCTTGCATGGCCCACACACAAGCTTGAGTGAGGATGTAATGTGTTTTGATGCATGATTGTACGTAATTATAGTAGAGAATAGCAGTGCTACAACTGTCACTGAGGTCTGAAATTACGTTTTGGAGACTGGTCTATTGCAGATCAGTTCTGGAAAATTTAAAACCGGTCTGAAGAATGGTTGCTGTTCCTCACTTAAATGAACTCATTTTGATTTTTGTAGGATCATTTTGTGAAGGGCTAAGGATTCTCTCTTTTGCCCACAGGTAAGTATCTCATCAGTTGTTGTTATTATTATGTAGAATTAGCAATGTGTGTGGTTTTTAGCCACAATAATATATGGTGGTGACCCCTCTTGCACCAGTAATGGCATATGTAAAACAAAACAATTTGTGGATATATTTGGAAGACTTACTTTTGTCATTCAAGCTACTAGCTCAGAACCATTACAGAATTGCTATTATTCTCAGGTCTGCATCAAGAATCACTTAAATTTGAACCCTCATCGCTTCAACTTACCATTTGTTTTGCTGGGAGCACCCAGTGGGTAGATTGTAAATATTTACACTGAACTGTCCCTTTCCTGCCCACTTACCTAAAACTTCAGTAAACAAAGCACATGTATTCAGTTTTATATTCAACGAAACCAGATCATTTAATCTAGTGTTCAACTTTCTTATTTTCAGATCATTTGATCTGATTTCTGATAAAATTCTAATGCCTTTAGTAGAGGCAGGGATAATGTCTGGCTCATGATGTTCATTGGGGTTAATAAAATACTGATTTCTTTTATTTAAAATAAATAAAATAAAGGATGGTGCTGAGATTTATGCTGAAGTTGGGAGAGATGGCAACAACGGCAGGTGAGCATGCTCTGAAAGAATCTCATTCTGTTGGGTATGATGGTAAACTTGCAATATCTGAGGTTAATTATTTTATTAGTGACTCTTGCTCAAGATTTATTTTTTTTCCTCTGTAATGACAGCTATTTTAACATGTCTCAAATTAATATTGAGACCTTCAATTTTTTGCATTGTCTGGATTTTGGGCTGTTTAAGTATGAAGCTGTAAATACATGTGATTGAGAATCTATTGTATTTCTGTGTACAATTATAAAGCAGCTGGATGCTTCTACTTGTGTTCTTGTGTTTGTGTTGAGCTGTTTTGAATGGCCTCTATTGTATCTGATATCTATCAGATTACAAATTAGGCCTTTTCCATGAATTTATTTAATCTTTGTTCTCCCATACTATTCTACCCAGTATATTGAGGCTCACAGGTAACCTGTTTTTAAGATTCTGTACACATCAAATTTCACCAGCAAGTCAGCTGGTGTACTTGTTCTTTTCTTAGCATCTTCCTTGTAAAAGAAGACCCTCATCGCAGCTTGGCACATTTCATAAACCCTGTAGTCAGTATAAATTGTGGCTTGATTTGATCTGTTACTCTGGTGGCTTGAATTTTTTTTAAACAGATGGGCAAATTGTTATTTCAGGGCAAAATGCCTTTTGGAAAAAACGACAGGAAGGATTGAAATAATTGCTCCTGGCAAATGTGAAAAATTACCTGATGTGAAATCTGCACTTTTTTGGGTTTTTCTTTTAGAAACAAACGACTAATCTTAGATTCTTTTAGTATTAGCAATTTGCTTGGACAGAAGTGCACTCTCTTGTATCTGTTTCAACATTCAGGTTTGAAAGCTTTCCAGTTTGACTGAAAGGAACCATGTTTAACTTCATTTTCAACTGCTTTCTATTTCTAATTTTATGGAAGAAAAATAATCATATGGCAATATAGTAGTATTTGATTTAATATGGTCAGTTACTTTGAATGTTTAGTTAATAAAGCTACTTATGCCAATTGAGTCATCTAGGTTAATCTGAAAAGAACATCTAAGTAGTTTTTTATATAAATTTATAATGTGCACTGCAACTGCAGAGCAATGTCCTAGGGAGTGAAATAATATCGCTTTAAAATTTATCACGATGTTAGTGGAATTAATTTGTGTTTAAAGGAAGACCTTTCAATTTTAAATGATGTATATGAAATCTGGATAACTTGTGCAAGAGTAGTGGATTTTGAGGATGGGGCTAAAATTAGTTGCACTTGTTACCAAAAGTTTTCTTCGTATGTGTGATTAAATGTAGCACTAAAAATGAAACATCTTTGGCAAGGATGGATTTGGTGGGCCACGTCTTCTGTACTGTAGGGTTCTGTGATTTTGCTCATATGTCTGTCATTTTCTACAGTTTCTCATGATGGCAGTGCACTTAGTTTTCTCAGTTTATAAATATGAGCATGTAGAAACTCCATTAGATTAAACTTTTTATTTTCACTTGTAGCAACATTTGCGTATCTGTTAACAGATGTGCAATGTATAAAATGTTTTAACCGGGGAATAAGAATTAATATTTTTATATCATTCCAATACGGTCAAGGCACAACAATGCCTCTTCCTTAGGAGGCTAAGGAAATTCAGTATGTCCATAAGGACTGTCACCAATTTGTATAGGTGGACCATAGAAAGCATTCTGTCTGGATGCATCACAACTTGGTACGGCAGCTGCTGTGCCCACGACTGTAAGAAACTGCAGAATAATGAACACAGCCCAGTTTGTCATGCAAACCAACCTTCCTTCCATTGACTCCACTTACATTTCTTGCTGCCTCGGACAGGCAGCCAACATCATCAAAGACCTCTCTGACCCTAGTTATAATCTGTTTCAACTTCCTCAGTCAAGCAGAAGATACAAAGCTTAAACACCTATACCAACAGGTTCAACAACAGCTTCTTCCCTGCAGACTTCTGAATGGACCCCTCAAAATCTCAAATCTAATGCTGATCTTGCTTTTTGTGCATCCTCTTTGCAGCCATAACTTCATTTTCTTCGCTCTGTTCATCATGCTATGATCTTTGTATGTCATGACTTGCTTGTACTGCACACAAAATGAAACATTGTACTGTTCCTAGGCATGTGTGATAATAAATCATATCAACTACAGAGGTGATCTAGCAACATTAGTCACCACCACAACTGACAGTTTCTCTCTTTGTACCCCTGTTACTCTGTTGTGAATACGTATCAAAATAATGGATGGATTTCAACAAAATTTGACACAGTTTCTCCTTTGTTCAGATCTTAATTACTCTTTGAAGATGATGCAGATATGGATCTTATTGAAGGATATCTTTGCTTTGAAAGATGGGGAAAGGGTTTATTTTGGAAAGCTGTTTATATTGTGTTTGAAGTGTTACAGATTTGTCTCAGCTGCTGAGACAACTGTAATACTGTATTCCAGCTGCCAAATTATGGGCAGAGTTTTCAGAAACGAAGAACTGTGGATGCTGTAAATCAAACAAAAACAGAAGTTGCTGGAAAAGCTCAGCAAGTCTGGCAACATCTGTGAAGAGAAATCAGAGTTAACATTTCTGGTCCGGTGACTGTTCTGAAGAAGGGTCATTGGACCCGAAACATTAACTCTGATTTCTCTTCACAGATGCTGCCAGACCTGCTGAGTTTTCAGAGCTGGTTGTTGTATGTGGATTCCTCGGAGAGGTGGAACTCTTAAGGGGGTGGGGGTTGGGTGGGGAGCGTTCTAGTGAGAGCTTCAACCTGATTGGGTGAAGCTGTATATTTTGATCTAGGAGGCAGTCACACTATTTAGGCTACATTGAACTGTAGACTTGCTCGAGGATAATAGGTTGAGTCTGAAATTTGGGCATCCAGGTAGCGATGAAGGGACCTTGATCCTTGAATGTGATCTAAAAACAGAAATTGCTGGAAAATCTCAGCAGGTCTGGCAACATCTTTGGAGAGAAATCAGAGTTAATGTTTTGGGTCAAGTGATCTACAGAACTCCAAAAAGCAAATTCTGTATTTGTTTCTAATTTACAGCATCTGCAGTTCTTTCAGTTTTACCTTTGAATGTGACTGACAGTAATGAGGTGTTTGCTACCTGTGTGGATGGAGAGGAAGACTGCAGAGTGGATGAGCAAACAGACGATGGTGCCGAATGCTAATCACTTGGTGGGAGCCAAAAAAGAATGTAGTTGCACAGGATAGTCAGCAGGAATAGATGCTGCCTTTGTAGCCATGACCTGGAGCTCCAGATTTGTGTTGCCAGCTCAGTGTCAAGTTAAAGACATCTTGCTGCTGGAGATGAACCTAGAATGGGAAGTGGTGAATCTACTTGTGCTCCAATTGGGAACCAACAGCACAGAACAAGGAGTGATGTTCTGCTGAGAGTGTTTGAGTTGTTCAGGTTCAAAGTAAAATGATGATTATCGTGTTTATAACAAGGTCAGCCAGGTGGACCTTGTAGAATGAGTGCCCTGATTAGCACTGTTAATCTGGTCCAATCGAGGAAGTCTTGCTGACAGATAAGAACAGGAGTGTCAGACCACCTGTTTAGAGAGCTAGCTGTGAGGGAGCTGGATCAGTGCCAAGGACTCAATGTGTAAAATAATAGGTGACTTGGTGACAGAACACCAGCCTCTCGAGTTACTTCAATAATCATTGAGATTATACCTGAGTTATCTGTCAATTGGCATAAGATCAAGCAAATTAGAGACATGCTGCTTGAAAAATGGCTGGGAAACAGGGCTTTTGATTCATGGGCCATTGGTACCTGTATTCAGTAAAGAAGGTGCTGTTATTTTGGGATGCATCACTTAAACGGGAGAAGAATCAGTTTCTTGCTGAATTGTGGAAGTGAAGTCTCCATAGCACTATTGGATCACAGTGCTGCTGCTCTCCATTGAGAGAGACAGCTGGTAGTGGTTTAGTCCGAGTGTCACCACACCTCGCCTGAGGGTACAGATTGAGAAGCAGAGTCCCTCATGGTAACCTAAGACTGTGGGAATTGAATCCACCGTTTTGCCATTGTTCCGCATCACGTACCAGCTGCCCAGCCAACTGAGCTAACCCAATTCTCTTCTGTAAGTAGGGAGCTATGGATAGGACTTCAAACTGAGATGGGGTAGAGAGGATTTGGGTGAAGTGAGAAATGTCAGCCAAATGGTGTGGTATTGAGAGAAGACAAACAGAATGGCACAGTAGGAATGGACAGTTTAACAGTTCGTGTGCATTATAAAATTTAAAGACACTTTATCTGAATGCATGAAAAATCTGCAATAAGACGAATGAACTAGTGGCACAAATGGAGATAAACAGTTTGGATCTAATCATTGTTACTGAGACATAGTTGTATAGTTCATCAAAGAATCCCTACACTTTTTAGAAGTAGGCCATTTGGCCCATTGAGTCCACACTGACCTTCCAAAGAGTATTCCACTCAGACCCAACCCCTACCTTAGAACCTTCCATTTCCCATGGCTAATCCACCCACCCTACACATGCCTGAACACTATGGGCAATTTAGCGTGGCCAGTGCACCTGCCCTGCATATCTTTGGACCGTGGGAGGAAACTGGATCAGCGCAAAGAACCCCATGCAGACAGAAGGAGAATGTGCAAACTCCACGTAGTCATCCAAGGGTGGAAGAAAACATGGGTCCCTGGTGCTGTGAATCAGCAGTGCTAATTGCTAAGCCACCATGCTGCCCTTGACACTCTTGATCACCTGCAGAAACCTGCTATTCAGCATGTTGACACGCTACTCACACCATTTATATGAACTTTTGATCTCTCTGCTGATAAATTCTGCACCTGTGTGCTTCTCTCTCACTTCACCTGACGAAAGGGCAATGCTTCAAAAGCTTGCGATTTCAAATAAATTTGCTGGGCTACAACCAGGTGTCGTCCGAGTTCTGACCTTGTTCACCCCATTCCAACACCGGTATGTCCACATGATTTGGCTGTGAACATAGGAGGTATGGCTAGTAAGTTTGCTGATGATTGGTGGCATGATGGACAGCCAAGAAGATTACCTCAGAGTACAACAGGACCTTGATCAGATGGGCAAATGGATCGAGGAGTGACAGATGGAGTTTACTCACACTTCCCATTTATCTAAATTAAAGTGTCGACAGCTGAATAGAGCAAAGGGATGACTTATAATCCGGTTAAATGAAGTAGATAATTACAAAAAAAAGATGGTGCTGGAGATAAACCAAATGACTGGAATGATGTAATAGGTTTAGGAGTTGCAAGCTAAGGGTCTAAGCTAGGTAAT